ATAATTGACGTACGCACTGATTTTAAATGGCCTTCGTTTTTGCTGCATATTCTTAAAGTACATCATTTACTATCGAATGGTTTATTTTATTGAAATCTATCTACTATCTGTTGAGTAGCAAGTTATTTTAATAATAATGTTATTGTAAAAAATGGTACAGGGGTTAGTTATTTTTGACTTTTGCCCTTCCCCTTTATCTTCTAGACAGGGACTGGCTTTTTCGGAGAAAAAGAAACTCAATAAAAATAGCAAAATTTTCATAATTAACACAACCAACAATAAAAATCAGAAAAGTAAAATACGTTTAACTACAATTATAAAAAAATAAACGACAAAAGTGTATAAACCAGAAATTAATTTAATTAAAATTAAAAAAGAGCTTCAAACTGCTTTCCTCTTTCACAGTCTCATATGCTCTTTTGCCCATTCCTCCGTTAAACCCTCTGTCAATTTAACTACATGCTTCCTGGATTCTTTCTCGTATTTCCGACCGACTGTAAATTTTTCAGGTAAACCCAAAGAAAAAATGTGATGGGGTTAAACCAGGTGAATGCGGTTTCCTAGAAACAGGACATCGGTTGCCTGTCCACGGATTGTCCAAGAGACACATTACTTGGAATTAGAAGGAGGACATCGATCGAGCAAACTACATAGCAACACGTGTAGCATGGAAAATTTTCAAAAAATTGAGTGATTTTTATAAAAATTCACTGTAAATAAAAGGTATGAACCTAAATCTCTTACCCCGTGTAAAGCTTGCCTGCAAAAAGGGAGAGTAAAGCTCTGCACAATTATCATTTTATTTTAACGTATCACGGTTTAGACGTTGACACGGCGCTCATCAATGTAAGGTAATGGTCCCGGGTTCGAATCCAGAGGCTTTGCATTCGAACCCGACCTACTTACAAATGGGCTTTTTTTTCAAAAACACCGACGCCCTGAGGGTTGATATGACCTCTGCTGTTGCAAACCCTCGTAAAAAAAATGTATCATGAGTAGGCGCCATTGGCCACTACAATTACGGAGACTGACACGGTGATTCATCTAAGGTCTCGGGTTCGAACCAGCGGGCGTGAATTAACATACGAATGTGCTTTAAAATCCAGATGGTTCATATAACCTTGTCCTTGAATTCTCAAAAAAAATGTAAAGGATTAAAAATTTCTTTTTCATAAAAAAAAAGATGCACTTTAAGCATACGCATCAAAAAACGAAGGGTTGTATTTGAAAAAACAATTGGTTGAGATGTACCCTCTATGTCTGTGGTAGAAAAACTAAAAAATAAATAAAAATAGATACCTTCTACAAAAAAACTAGATAACGAGCGGTTACAGTTCAATTGTCTTTGATATCCTGCTTTATTTACAATAACAAGTGGCTGGTTTTTTATTAAAATGGACACAGGTAACTTAAATTTGAGCAAGTATCAGCAAAATAAATTGAGTATAACATTTTCCCTATTGTCTGATATCCAAATTACAAAATTAATTAATTCCAGTTTAAACATGTTTATTCTTAAAGTTAAATGTTAAGTTTACATTTTAAGTTCCTAAGTAATGTCCTGTACCGAAATATGCTGAAATTTGTACCGAGGTATAACGTTTTTGATTAATTTTTCTGGATTTTAGACTGTCTCTTATTTGTTTTTAGTTTTTATTTAATTTATTAGACCAATCATTAATTTTACAATAATATAAATACAAATATATATATATATGTAATAAATAATAAATGTTTACATTCTTACAAACCCATTGGTACAATAATATTTGCATTTCACTATTCACAAATTAAATGTTAAGTTTACATTTAAAGGTTTTAAATAATGTTTTAAGTAATTTTTCTGGATTTCAGACTGTCTTATTTATTTTTTTATTTACTTTATTTATTAAAACTGGTCTTATTAGATCAATCATCAATTTTACAATAACATATATAGAATAAATAAATGTTTACATTCTTACAAACCTATTGGTACAATAAGATTTGCAATTCACTATTCACAAATTAAATGTTAAGTTTACATTTAAAGGTTTTAAGTAATATCCTGAACCGAAATGTTCTGAAATTTGTACCAAGATATAAAGTTGTTTTTGATTAATTTTTCTGAATTTTAAACTGTTTCTTATTTATTTTTTATTTAATTTATTTATTAAAACTTGTCTTATTAGATCAATCATTAATTTTAAGTTGATATATATAGAATAAATAAATGTTTACATCATTATAAACCCATTGGTACAATAATACATGGTACAATACATTTCACTATTCACCAATTTTTAACTACACTAGTTCATGGCTTTGTTCTTTATGTAGGAGTTTGGTCACTTCCACACTCTCGTGCTGGCTGTGGCGAGACTGGCGTTTGACGGCAAATCTTTTTATTTCCACTGTGACCGCAGGGATCTTAAGATCCTATGTAAGTCCTTATTCCTTGCGTACAGCATTGACCACGTTACGTAAGATTTTATTTTGGAGCGTTTGTATGGTTTTGATATTGCTGTGTTTGGTACAAACCCCATAGTTGAATACCATATGTCCACATAGACTTTAAGATTTGTTTGTACAATAATATTTTATTTTGTATAGTAAGGTTGGGCAACATCCTATCAAACGGTATAGTTGTTTATACGTTAAACCTATTTCTGTCCTTTTTTTCTTCACGTGCACTTTCCACCTCAGCTTGGAAATAATTCCCAGACATTTAGCTATATTGCTGTACAGTATAATACATCGATTGTGAGCGACGGAACATGATTTTCCATTTTGTTTGCAAAATTTATATGTACTAATGTAAGCTGATTGAACTTGATTTTACTTTTTTGTCCATTTGTTTATCTTATTACAAGCATTTTGAAGGATTTTGGTTGAATGGTTGAAAGTCGTTCCTACTGATAAAACTGTTGTAATCTGCAAACGTTGCTATTTCTCCATCTATTTTTGGAAAATCACTGGTGTACAACAAATAAAGAACTGGACCTAATATGCTACCTTGTGGCCCTCCTGATTTTTTTTTTAATTTATAATTTTGAACTTCCTGTTTGACTCTAAACAGCCTGTCAGTTATCGGGTTGTCCGGAAAATAATGCAGGATTTTAAGTTTTCATTAAAAAAAATCTATATAAAATATTCTGTTTACGTTTACAGGATTACTCATTTGTATGAATGTCAACACTTATTAATCCTCTTCCAAATGATATTGTTTGTTTACCTCTGTAGCATTCCGCTACTTGGAAATAATTCAGTCATCCTTATAATGTCAAAGCGAGAATTTCGTACGATTTTCTTTTACGAGTTTAAACTCGGCCGAAGCGGAGCCCAAACGGCTAGAAACATTAACCAAGTCTGGGGCGAGGGTTGTGTTAATGAGTGCACTGTGCAAAGGTGGTTTAAAAAATTTCGGGAGGGAGATTTCAGCCTTGAAGATGAAGAAGGTCGTGGAAGGCCTTCCTCTCTTAATGATGATGTTCTGCGATCAGTGGTGGAAGAAAACCCCAAAACAACTGTTCGAGAACTTGCAGAGCAACTCAAAGTCAGTAAAACGACCGTCGCTGACCACCTCAAGGCGATTGGAAAAGTGAAAAAACTCGAAAATTGGGTTCCACACTCATTAAACGATCGCCAAAAAAATCAGCGCTTTGATGTTTGTGCATCACTTCTTTGTCGAAACAAAAATGACCCATTTCTGGCCAGAATTGTTACATGTGACGAAAAGTGGATTCTCTACGATAACACTAGACGTTCTGGACAGTGGCTCGACAAAGGAGAAGCTCCAATACATTTTCCAAAGCCCCCAACTCATCAAAAAAAGGTAATGGTTACGGTATGGTGGGCTTCATTTGGTTTAATACACTACAGCTTCTTAAATCCTGGCGAAACCATCAATGCTGAATCATACTGTAACCAAATTAATACCATGCATCAGAAATTGGCAGTAATGAAGCCCTCTTTGGTCAATCGGAAAGGGCCCATTTTGTTGCATGACAACGCTCGACCACATGTGTCACGTGTAACGTCACAAAAATTATTGGAGCTTGGCTATGAAACTTTGCCTCACCCACCCTACTCTCCGGACCTCTCGCCTACTGACTACCATTTTTTTAGACACCTGGACCACTACTTACAACACATAATATTCAAAAATCAAACGGAACTGGAAAATGCATTTATTGACTTTATCAATTCTAAAAATTCTGAATTCTACTCAGACGGAATTAATAAGTTACCAACACGTTGGGAGAAATGTATTGAGAGTATGGGAAATTATTTTGATTAAAGAACATTGCTTTAAAGTAACTAGTTTCTTTTTTTTTGTTTAATACCAAAATCCTGCATTATTTTCCGGACAACCCAATAGATAGGTACTGATAATATATGCATACTGCTTTAGTAGCATCCCTTTTAGTTTCTTGATGAGTCCATCATGCCAGACATTATCAAAAAGTTGTGAGACATCCAAGAAGATAACAGAACAAATTTATTTTTCTTCAAGAGATTTTTCTATTACGTCCGTTACATTGTGAATTTCGTCTATTGTTGAATATCATGTTCAGAATCCAAATTGATGGTCAGGGATGATTTACTTTTTTTCTACAATGGGTTTTATAATGTCTCTTTTCTAGAAAAAAAAACATTATAGTTGCTTGTAAGTGGGTATGTTTGAGTTCAATTTGTTAGGAGGTGTTTTCATAACTCAGATTTATGACTAACAACAATAATTTTATATAAGCCTGAAAAAATTGTATCATTCTGTCTTTGCTGCTAAATCATTTTTTATATTGAATAATTAATTATGTATGTAAACAGTAAGATACAAATGTCAGATACAGTCAAAACTTAGATTTTAGTTTTTAACATTACGAACAATTCCCCTATACAATAATTAAAAATCTTTGTCAAGGAATAAAAGGCAAATAAGAAAAGAGCAGATAAGCTACAAGATTTAGTAGAGTAAACTGTCGTAAAAGTTTATGCTTTCTTCAAACTTCGTCCTTGGGTGGCGAAAGATTTGTGCAAGAAACGGGCCGCGTTGGCCAATTATTGGTCTAGGGCTCAGTCGGCATGGAACGGTGGTGCGGAAAGGTGGCAGTCGTGACAGGGGCCAGCGGTGGTATTGGCAAAGCGATCGTCAAGTCCCTCGTCCAAAATGGCCTGGTTGTCGTCGGCCTGGCACGGAGAGTCGAGATAATCGAGGTATAAAATAACCCAAAAGTAATAATAAAGATAATCAAGCCATCTCGTAATATTACAACCCTCCTGATAGAACATTTCATTTGCTTGAAAGCAAAAGTGTATTTTTTTTATGTACATTTATTAATTTAATTAGACTGATCGTTTTTGTTCAAATATTGTTTTTATTTTATAAATGAAATCTTAAACTTGTACGAACAAACCTTTCTTTTGAATTAATTAAATAATAGTTTTCTAGGTTAATTCGGCCGATTATGCAAATCATGTATGATAGATACCAATTTAAATTCTTTTATACAATTTTCTAAACGACAATTTTGGCTTTACCACGACATGAATAGAACAATGCGTCTGCAACATGCGTTTCTCAGTATAATATGTTTAACTTAAAAATAAATAAATAAATAAAAATAGATACCTTCGAAAATAAAAATTACAATTTACATGGTTACAATTTAACTGTTGTTGATATACTGCTTTATTTACAATAAAAATTGGCTGGTTTGTATTAAAATGTACCCAGGGTAACTTAAATTTGCGCCAGTATCAGCAAAATAAATTCAGTATAAAATTTTGTCTATTGCCTGATTTCCATTTTTGCAAATTATTCCAATTTAAACATGTTTATTCTTAAAGTTAAATGCTAAGTCTACATTTAAAGTTTTTAAGTAATATCCTGACCCCAATTATTTTTGTTGCAGATTGTTTTTGTTCAATTATTATTTTTATTTTGTAAACTAAATCTTAAACTTGTACGAACAAACTTTTTCTGTTTGATTAATTAAATAAAAGTTTTCTAGGTTAATTCGACGGATTATGCAAAGCATTTATGATAAAATCATTTATCATAAATACCAATTTAAATGTGTGGTGATTAGTGACCGTTAATCGATATTTATTTAGAAATCGTGAGATGCGGTCTTGGTATGTGATGTAGGTTTCAGAAAAACATTTTCTTTATCGTGCCAACGTTTCGATATTTATTGAGATCATCTTCAGGACCTGGGATTTCCAAACATTGTTTACATATTACAATTATATTTTGGAAGTGGAAAAGTGAATTTATACAATGCAAACTATATTTTATATATTCAATCAAAGTATTTCTACTCACTCAAAGTGTTTGTCTTCTGTGTAATTGTGCCATTCTTGCGTGTCGTGTCGAGAGTGCCAGAGAGATTTTGCTATTTTGTGATTATATAACATGGGGGTTATTAAAGGTGGGGAACATTAAAGTTACATGATAAGTTTACATTTAACGTTTTTAAGAAATGCCCTGAACCCAATTATTTTTCATTTATGATAGAGACCAATTTAAATTTAACCAATTGTCTAATAAATCTAATAAATTATTTTATACCACTTTCTAAAACGCAATTTTTGCTTTACCACTACATGAATAGGACAATGGGTCTGCAACATGCATCACTCAGTATCACATTTTTCTATACAATATTAAAAATATACTGCAAGCTTTGATAAAATTTAAATTGCATTCAAATATTTGTTCTTTGTAAGAAACCAGAAGATCGATGTCCATGCCACTACCTGGTTCACTTGTATACATATAATTTAAAGGTTCAATGAACTAAGAAGGAGTAATAAATCACCCATTGACTTGAAAGAAAACTCATTAGTTTATCTTTGAATTCCTTGTCATACTTTGACAATAGTGTACAATAGAAAAGTTCCCTCTGTTGTTGGTTTTTTTTTTTTTTTTTGTGATTGGTTTAAAATGTGTGTTTAGAAATTGGCCGAAGAGTTGAAAGGGAGCAAAGGCGAACTTAAACCGATGAAGTGCGACATCAGAAACGAAGACGAGATAAAAGGAGTTTTTGACTGGATTGAGAAAGATTTGGGTACTGTTCACGTACTCGTCAACAACGCAGCAGTCCTTTCAGTTCAGCCACTCGACGGTGCGTAAAATTTCAATTAAAAAAAAAAAAAAGATTGTAAGTAGAACTTCCGTCCAAAGTATAACCAAAGTATCGCTTAGTATAACTCGTAAAGATATGAAATTTTTTCAATTATTCTAATTTTTAGTTCTAGAAGCTTTTAGTCTATTTCCTATAAAACATACGAATTCATACAAAATTGCAAAGTAGTTATATAGTATATAATGTACAGTATACAAGGTCCTTGGAACGTTTTGTATCCCATCCCAGGTTGACGCTTCGTTTTCATGGAAGGAGAAAATTTCAAAAGCGTAGATGTTAATCTCTTAGAACGTTGTTAAATCGGCTCCAAGAGGTATTGGGTTGGATCAAAATTAATGCAGGTTTTGAAAATTTGTTTTATTTTCGCATCTGCTTGTCGTGTAAACAATGATAAATCCTCAAATCTAATTTATGGATTATAATAAATACTTTTACCTGTAATCTTTTGCCCAAAACATTTTAGTTTATATTGACTTTTTAAGAGTACGAAATTAATTATGCCCAAACTAAATTTTCGTCAGATTTATTTGGGCAAAGTGCAGCTCCAACCGCGCCTAACAGCAATACAGTTTGGGCGAAAGGAGGGATTAGCGAATGCGATGGTTTCAGCGATTTGTCCTGAAGATTTCGATCTCAATCTCTCAGCCTTTCGTTGTGGACGACGACCAACTCAAAACCTTGTTTGAAGAAAATTCACGTAGGACAACACAGGAAATTGCGGAAGATCTTAGTGTTGACCACTCAATCGTTGTTCCCCATCTGGAGCAAATTGGTAAAGTAAAGAAGTACGGCAAGTGGGTAACGAACTAACCGAAGACCAAAGTAATTGTCGGTTTGAAAATTTGTACGTCTCTTCTGTTGCGCCACCAAAATGAAATTGGTTCTGTACGATAACAGGAGGCATACTGGTCAATTGATGGACAAGGATGAAGCGCCAAAACATTTCCAGAAACCAAACCTGCAAAATGGTAATGGTGACTGTTTTGGTGGTGTATTGCTCGTGTTGCTCACTATAATTTCGTGAACTACGGTGAAAAGTATGACAAACCCTGCGGATCCTTAAGGACTTAAAATATGAAATGTCCATATTCACCCGACCTCTCGCCTACAGACTTCACTTTTTTACGCATTTTGATCACTTCTTGAGGGGTAAAATTTTCAGAGAACGAGGTGAAGCCGAAAACGCCTTCCAAGGTTTTATTGTAAGTCGAAATAAAGATTTTCATGTCAGCGGAATAAAAGCGCTTTTACACGTTGGCAAAGATGTAGATTATGATGGAAAAGATTTCGAATAAATTTTGTTAAACCTTGGAGCTTAGGCAATATCCAAAACATTTTGCTAAAACTTATCACGAAAAGCCATAGTATTCCTTACTATTCTGTTCCACAAATGTCTCACATTACGTACCTTCCCCACTCTCTGAAAACTTTTCAATTGTTTCTGATTCACAAAGCTGCCAAATTACTTAATGATTTAAACAGCCTAATACTGTTAGCTAGGGTCTACCGTTATTTAGATGTTTATCAGATTAATCAGTATGATCAATCTGGGTTTCGGTCAGAACTCTCCACTACAGTCCAATTAGCTAGAGTTGTTAATGTCGGAACTGGGGTGTTTAACCAACGAAAGCATACTAGGTTGGTATTGGTGTACATCCAGAAGGCGTTCGCCTCATTTTGGCTTGCTGGAATGGCCAGCAGGATGATAGACTATAGCTTTCCACCATACTTCATTAAAATTATTCACTTATTTTTATATGATAGGAAATTTCGAATCTCTCTCAACTGTTAGTTCGACAAATTGAGCACTATGACTTGGACTTTGTCTACAGGTATAGTGGAATGAAGAGCTCTTTAGTTTAATTCTCGCCTACGCAAAGGGTTTTTGAACGTTTTTCCCTTCAATAATCTTTTGTTTTGATGTGTTGATACACTCTTTAAAAAAAAATTCTGAAGCAAGTGGCCATAAACTTCTATAATTTCTACGGACGATCTACACCTCTAGGGTTCAGCGTGCACCGTGTTTAACGAAGGTGAAAGCACCTCCATGTAACTCGCTCGTGCTCTTATTAGAGAAGTACCATCAACTAGAGCATCTTGGCAAAACGGTGGTGGTTGTCTGGCTCCCCAGATGGGATAACGAAAACGCGGAGGCTGCTCAGATCAGGTCGTCCTGACATCATTAAAAATGCAATAAAAATATCAAAAAATCATGATCAGAAGGAATGGCAAGGTCTGTCGGTAGAGATAGAAGACCTAAAGGATCTGAATTGTAGAAAGGGATCAACCTAATAGAATTAAGAAGGCCATGTGAGGCACTTGCTTTTGGGCGCGTATGTGTTCGACATGTAGAGAGATTTATATGGACCGGTCCCACATAACAGAGTGGTGTCACATTTCTTGGCTCCATGAAAAGAACGGGTAAGAATCCCCTGTGAGTGCTTGAGCACGACTCATTCTATGTTTCTTTTCGTGTATATTGAGATTGAATGTAATTTATTAGCGTGAATGTTTAGTGTAAGAGGAATAATGGTGGAATATCGAATACCCCATCGACTTTATTTAAAAGATGATGGAAGAATAGGTTGTACTTGAATGAATGTTATGAAATAGAAAAGCATACATTTAAGAATGAGTGAGTGTGTGAATTTTAAGTTTAAAAAATTCAGGGATGAAGTGACATGTTGACAGCCCGGAGGCTTTATCTTCGCCAGTAAAATGGTAAAATCGAGGTCTGAACTACCAAATACCGTTTTGGAAGATTCTCAGGGTTTGCAAGTAATTTACATATATAAGGTTAGCTAATATGAAGATCTCTTTGAACCTATGGTTTCAACTATAATGAAATTAGCAATTAAATTTATATTGAACGAGATCAAACATGACCTGTTCATTTTATATCAAAAGGTATGATATATCTGATGTAGAAAATCTGATAATGTGATATACATAGATGTTTATAATTTTGTTAATCTTGTATTTTTATATATTTTCACCTTATTCAGGATTTTTTTAATTACAATTTTTTTCTTTTTGCGTTTTTGTTGTCCTGATTTTTTACCATGGATGGATTATTTCTTTAGACATTTTTTGAAGTTCCTAACGAAATATTCTAATCTATGACGTTTCAGGTTCCTGTGTCATTTTAAGTAGATTATTTCTTTGCTATTTTAAGCAGCCATGTTTGTTGTTTGGTTACTATTTCATAACGATGTATTTTTTAAATTTTTATACCCCGAAGAAATAAACTACTTAAAATATTTAAACCTAAACGTCGTAGATTTCAAAATTTCTTTAACCACCTTCATAAAATAAAAATTTAACCAATCATAAACTTCATAAACTTGTAATATTGAAGGCTGATAGAATTTCTAAAGGAGACAATTACTCATATTGTGAGATTTGGCTGATTATGTACCCGTTCAGTCTGGCATGGTCATCATCGAGTTTACGTTTTGGTCTTTCGCCATCTTCAATGAGTGGCGTCAAAAATACAAGCAGGGATAGGCAGGCAAAAACGTTCAGAAACTACCAACCTACCGAGATATCCGAAAGCTAATAAACTATTAGTTAACTTGCTCTTCATATAAATATCAACTATCAACTAGCGCGAATATCAACTAGCTTAAATCCATGAATTTTTTAAAATCGTTATTTCAGTAATTGCTTCACACAAATATGCAGTTATGCAATTATTTAATACGTTTTTTTTAATCTCCGGATAACTTCAGAAATTAAAGTTTCATTATTAAAATAGAACTTTGGCAATCTTAAGTGCTGCAATCACTTTTTCTTAACCAACGGAAAACGGAGGGAACAGATAAAAGTTTATGATTTTATGTATAATATATGATAATATAATAATATATAATATATAATGATAGTTGATCAATAACTAAGTCTGCTTGTTAGTAGATGGTGTTCGAGATAAAATAAAGTAATTTCTGTAATACACGATGGGTGCTGCGACATCAGCACTGTAGGTTCAACACTCCTTTGAGAAAAAACTGTATTACCCCGATATTTTCTCGATTCGAAAGCATTCGATCGAGTTTGGTATGCTGGGATGCTGTGTATACTCAAAGGCATCTTCGCCACCACCTACTACCTCATTTTAAAGTCCTACCATGCCTACCATTACTCCTGGTAACATCACCCAAGTTCGGTCAGATCACCCAAGGTAGTGTTCTTTGTGTTCCAATCCTTTACGTCATATATACTGCTGACGCTATGGGATAAGGCAGGGATGTCTACTAATTCAATAGTTCAATTCTATTTTCCCTCTACCTTGATAACCTTCTTTTAGTTCTAAGCTAGGTCGAGTTCAAACTAGGTAGCCCAAAAATAAGTATTCTAATGTATGCAGATGACATTGTCATACTGGCATGCACTGTAATAGGCCTTCGAAAGAACATTAACATGCTAGCGTCATAGAACTTGCATGTTAATCTTAATAAATCAAAAATCATGATCTTCAAGAGATGGAGAGAATCGAAACAGTCAATAAGGACAAATACTTAGGAGTTATTCCCACACCTAATATTTTTTGGTCCATACATATTTCGAAAAAAGTTCTGATGCCAAAACAGCATTTAATATGTCTTGGTCTCCTTTCATTATGCAAAACCTCTACTGGTGAGAGATACTCTGTATTCAATGCAATCTGTAGATCAATTCTATGTTATGGCTGCCAGATTTAGGAATATCAATTATACAATGGAGAGGAGCGTACAACGCCCTCTTTCTCAGGAAATTGTTTTCATTACTATCTGCCATTCCCAACTATCTCCAGTTCTTGAAAATTCCCATTGCTCCAATTCCCTACAGAGCCAATACCTTAATGTGCCCAGATTCCAGGGCCGCCAGTAATGCGGTCGAAATAACTTAATTTCAACTCATTAAATTCACTAATTTCGTGGTCCGCTTGACCAATTAATATATTACAATTAATTAAGTTTTTAGTTGATATAAAAAAATCAATGGCAAGAGCGGGATTCGAACGCACGATCTTCGGCTAGATACGCCGCTGCTCTACCACTTGAGCTATCGTGACTCGATCCACTCGGACACCAACTTCCCATCTCAACCCCACTTTTAGAGCACTATAATCAACTAAAAAGCGATGAGTCCTACCGGGATTAGAACCCAAAACCGGTACCAGCGTGGCAAGTAGGAGTCGGACGCCCTGATCACTTGACCACCACGATTTCCCTGTTCCAGATAATGTCCAACAATTCAAATCAAACTGGCTTGCTGTAACTGTAAAAAAAACTTAATTTTTACAAATTAAAAAAGTACATGTTACGTATTAAGTACAATCTGAACTTGAATAAAATGAACCTTGAGTTGGGTAAGCAGAACACAGAAAACTTTATTTAACGAGTAGCAATGATGGGCAACATCGTACAATTAACTTAATTGATTTTTAATGTTATTTTTATTTCTGGTACAACGTAGAAGTGCGTGAGGCGAATTTCTAATTATAGGGTTTCATCACATAACGAACAAATAATTTTTGCCGAATTTCTGATTTTTTGAGTATGCCGTTTGTGAAGGTTCCCAAAAGGGAATCTTAAACAGGTTTATATAGAAATTAAATTAATTGTAAATATTAAGATTAAAAGTAGGAATATTTCTGCTAATTGTAATGAAAGGAAAGCGAATACAATTAATTTATTGTATTAGTGTAATAAATACAAATCACAATACACAATAGAATAAAATTGGGCAATCGGAAGTGGCCTGGAATCAGCCGACCCCGTCTTCCGACGCAGATAAACAAAGATGACAAAATGGTAACAGCTGGATGATTACAATTGAGAAATGTGGGTCGATCCTGGGCAATCGCCCTAGAAAAATTACTGTTGCGCTGACAAGTGGCCTTATTGCTCAACCCCCAGGATTAGCTAATGCCCGGACCCATCAGGAATAGCTCAATGACCTGGGGAGAACAAGAGCAGTCGGGTCACCAGAAAGCCTAGCAGTATTTCCTAAGCTTAACTCTCACACCGTCTCTTCGGACTGATTGATAAAAACACAATCGGAATCCACGCAGGGCAGTGCTCAGTCGGAGAGTGCAGTATAGTTAGGCGGAGAGACGAGTCAGTGCAGCCCAGTCGAGTCAGTGCAGTTGAGTTGGGTCAGTGAGACAGTCCCGTCGAGTCAACGAAGAGGTGAAAAGTAGAGGCGGTCAGGGGAGAGCTGTCAGCGGTCGGGAATAGGCCATGAGGAGCCGAAGTCGAAGAGGAGCAGGCCCGGAGAGGACCAGGAATTGGCCCGGGGTTGGCCGAGAGTCGTCGAGGAGACGACGGCGAGAAATTAGCCCGAAGGAGCCGAAGTCGACCAAGAGTTGGCCCGGAGTAAGCCAGGAGTTGGCCAGGATCCGACATGAAGTCGAGAGAGAAGTCGAGAAGGAAGACGAGGGAGAAGTGGAGAGAGCAGTCTAGAGGGCAGACTCAAGGAGATCTCAGTCAGGATCTGAGAAGAAGGCTGGTGTGGCCGTGACAGCCAGTGTAGAGAGGAATCAGCGAGAATTCCGTAGGATCGACGAGCAGTCGGTCAGAATTCCGTAAGAGTCGGCAAGGAGTCGGGCAGAAATCCACAGGAGTCGACCAGGAGTTAGCGAAACCAATACCAACATCTCAGTTCTGTGAGTACAATATTTGTCAAACAGTGGGGCGATTTAGGGTTGCGGCCTAATCTTAAGTAATACGATCCCCAATAATTAAGCCGTAAATAATATGGATTTTCTAATGGGAATAAGAGCGTTTTCTTGAATATAGAAATAGTCATTCAATTTATAAGTTTTGTTTATTAATTGTATAATAGTGTAGAAAGAGAGTTGTCGTTAATTTATATTTGTCGGAAAATTGTTCTGGTAGAATAAAGGGAACTGGATATTTCACACTGCCGTCTTGGCCTTTCATGTACTGCATCTAAGCCGTATTCGGCTCTTTACAATTTGGTGGCTGATTTTTATATGTTCACTGCTTTTTTATATGCGTGTATGAGTGACGGTCGCATCTCTCTCACTCCTGGCGAGCTCTTGGTTGGTATCCAGGATGGGCCTCGCGGAGGCGGCTCGCTCGGGATATCAGGAGGAGGGGGAATAGGCCTTGTTATTGATTTGCATAATGATTGTCGATTCAATCTCAGTCTTTGAAAAAAAGGGGATCTGATTTATATTTAGGCTGGCCATCCTTTCTGCCTCATGATGGCTTTCCAGAATTTTTCCATTGCCTTGTAACCGGCTGGGCTTGATATCACACGGCGCACGGTGTCCATGGTAGCATATTCAACATTGATTTCATAGATCCATCTCATCCGTGGGACTGTGTACATTTCACACTCTATGACCAGATGTTCAACCGTCTCCGGCATGCCGCACTCGCACAATGGACTATCTCTTAGCCCAAAACCGTGAAGTTTGGCCTAGAAGTCCCCGTGCCCAGTCAGCAGCTGGGACATGTAATGGTCCGTCTTAAGATGGGTCATGCCCATGCGACTCTCCACAATGCTAAGAAGCCAGTATGTGTGTCTTCCTTTCGTTGACGTTTCCCATCGTCGTTGCCATTCGTTCGTTACCCATAAAGCAGCTTCTTCTTTCGACTGGACCGGTATGCATGGCTGGTAACCGTTGGCGAGTTCCCAAGCGGCACACGCTGCTTTCGCCTGCAGGTCCATCGGGGGTCGCCCGGCTATCACATTTAAGGCTTCCGTGGACACCGTGCGGTACGCCTGCGTGACGGCCAGCAAGGCCGCTCGTTGCGCACTGCAATATTTCACACTAGTAGTTCTATCTCCTTCCAACCATATCCCTATAAGTCTTGGATAGTAGACTAGAAGTTAGGAGAAAGTGGTGGGAGGGTGTTCACCCGTCAAGTCCGGGCGACCTGACACATCCTACCCACTAAAAGGCTTGACGGGCCTATAGTGGAGTAGAACGCTACTCGCTCGGAGCACCCTAGCGAGCGACAGCGTTCGCGCTCGTTCGATCGAGCCGCAAGCCGCCCGGAACCCCTCACCATACCGTTTTTCATAAAATTTATAATAAAACACGGTTTTTAACTGTTGTTTTTAAAAATTGACTGGTCATGTTAAAAATAATAAAATTCACTTACCATAGGTAAGTAATCGTTTATGGGAAGTTGGTCTCACACCGTATGACTTTTTGAGATGACCTGCAGCAACAGCCCGCCACCAGCAATTTAGGAGAATATGGTGCAGCAAGCGCCTAGAAGAGAACACCAATTGGAATACTGTTACGTTTACTGATGAGTCGCATTTCTGTCTGTATAGTGATAGCAGGCGCCACATAGTCTACCGAGAAAAAGGGATGCGAACGATGCCCCAGTTCGTGCTCTCTTCAGTGCAGTTTGGAACAGGCGGTGTATCGGCTGTGCTGGGATGTACACTGGAGGACATACTGTCACCTCACCGCAGTCCGTTATGTCCATGAAATTATTGAGGAATACATCCTTCAAACCAGGGATCTCACTGGCACGGATATACGATTTCTAGATGGCAATGCCAGACCTCGTATACGCAGAGAGATTCGTCAATGTTTAGAAAACCTAGGAATTTCTATCACCCCCTTCCTCCATTGTCTCCAGACCTCAATCGCACTGCGCACATGTGTGATGCGTTGCAGAGAAGGGTTTTCGAATTCCATCCGCAGTCAATTGACCTACAACAACTGAGTGCAGCGTTGCAATATCTATGGAGTGAAATTCCTTATAAAATTAGCGACAACCTTCTTAATAATATGCCTAACAGGTGCACAGAGGTTTTTTTCTAACAGAAAACATACATGAATTAATTGTTTTAAAAAAATTTTCAGTCTAATAAACAAAATTATGGAATTAAAACCTTTTATTTTATAACTTTTCAAAATCCCTTAATTAAATTTTATTTTTTCAACATAACAATTTCAAATAAATTTTAATGCAATTTATAATATAAATAAAATAACAATGTTAGTGACAGTAAATGCAACAAAATTGGCAATATCCCTTTTCGTTTTTGAGCTGTTTACAATATAGCCCTAGAAAAAATTCAACTATTGAGATTTGAACTAGGACTCACCTGTGCTGTAGGTACATAACGGGGAATGCAATAGCTCTTAAAGGATGCAATATATTAATCCCGAATGATACTCTATTATATTACATCATGTATCAATTTAATACATTTTTTATATTCTTTAGAGTAAATATATTTAAATAAAATAACCCAAAAGTGTTTTTTTATTTAAACCTTTGTACCTGTTTTTTCGTATAATTCCCTAATAATAAACTTAAAACTATCTTTCATTTCAGAATGCGAAGGGGAAGTGTTGAAATCCATGTTCGACACGAACGTCGTCGCCCTCAGCCTTTTTGCTAAGCACACTCTGAAATTGATGAGAGATTCGGCAGTTCCAGAAGGCCACATAATCAATATAAACAGGTAAGTGTGATCAATTATATTTCCGAATGAGAAGAGTGCTCTATAACATGAATTGCAAACTCTGGAGCTCACCTGCAGAAATAAAATGTGTAATATGGGCACATCGGAAGAACATTATCAATTCCTAGCCGATCGTAAGATGGTGAAGGAGTTTATGGTTGATGTATGGGGCTTGAAACCATTATCCGTGAAAATTTTATTAACATTTTGAATAGTAGGGATTGGAATCAACTTTTTAAATATCTACTAAATTAGTTAAAATACAGGAAATTTCTCATAACAGAATTCAACTACGTAGAAATATTATAAATAATAAAAAAAAATTACCCTAGTATATCTAATGTTATAATGTGTTGCTTTACTTAATTTTTAAAAAGAAAAAAATTGTCTAGAGGAAAGAATTCCTTATTACATTAAAAATTTTGTGATATTATTGGTAACTTAAAAATAAATTATATCTTAAAATTGTTTATATCACTATTATATTTATAATTTTTATTTATTATTTATTTACGATGTATAAGAATTTATTTGAAGACATCATAAACCTGGCAAACGAACTATTGTCCATTGTCTATTGGAAGTTTAATTGCATAAAATAAATTGTATAAATTATTTTTCGGAGATCGTGAGATGCGATCTGGTGTGAAGTAAGTTTGATAAAAACATTTTCTTTATCGTGCCAATGTTTCGATCATTATTGAGATCATCTTCAGAGCCTGGGATTTATAAACATTGTTCAAATTTTACAAATACATGTAGGGTGTGAAAAAAAATGAATTTATACCATGCTAGAAATTTTAGATTCAATCAAAGTATTTGTAATCTCTCAAATCCAACATATATATACGTAAAACAGCAATATCTCACTGGCACTTTCAAAACGACACACAAGAATGACACATCTACACGAAAAACAAACACTTTGAATGAAAACAATTACTTTGATTGAATCTAAAATTTTTAGCATTGTATAAATTCATTTTTTTCACAACCTACATGTATAATGATGATAATAAAATTCAAACAATGTTTATAAATCCCAGACCCTGAAGATGATCTCAATAAAGATCGAAACGGTGGCATAATAAAGAAAATGTTTTTCTAAAGCCTACGTCACACCAGATCGCACCTCTCGATCTCCGAATAATCCTTACCTAACGGTCACTAAACACCACACAAAAATTGTATAAAGTGCAATAAATTTACATTTTTTATTATTATTATCATTTTAATTAAAACGTCAATTATGACTACTAATATAGATATATATAGTAAGTTTGAGATCAGGGATGTGGTCGTCAAAAACAAGTCGTGTAACTTATCCCAAGCTTATCATATACCAAGATACCAGGTTGATACAGCACAGATATGATAACTCGATAGCTCAAGTGGTAGAGCAGCGGCGTATTTAGCCGAAGGTCGTGGGTTCGAATCTCGCTCGTGACACTGACTTTTTTATCTCAAACAAGACCTTACATAAAGATTAATTAATTGAATTAAAGCTCATGTCAATTCACTATATTTGAGAAGTGATATCAATAATCTTAGCGCTCTCTACAGTTGCCTAATTTAGTCCTTTCTGTCTGTGATGTGTCATTCTGCGTCTATAACCACAATTGGTTTTATTAACGTTGTTGTTACTTGTATAGCCCTGATGAAGACTTCAATAAAGGTTGAAAGCTTGGCATAAGTTTCAAAACTTGGTTTTTGATGATGGAATCCCTGATCTAGAAGTTACTATAAATATCCTGACGGTGGATTCATCTTTCATTCGGTATATAGATTAATATTATTATTTATTATTATACTGTATCTCTTGACTCATTGATGAGAAATTTCCAACTTGGATGTCAATTCTTGGATAATAATTTTCAATTTTTGACCGCGTGGACAATCAAACGTATTAAATGCATAACTGATTGAATTATAATATTGTATTAGATTAAAAGTACACATGCATTGCATGGAGAAGTTACTTGGTTTTATTATCATTTAAGGCTAAACTGTTGTGGAATTGTATATGTGATAGTCTGAGTCCTCGAAAGCGTTTCCATTTCAATCGATTTCAACATTTTCAAGGTTTATTACGAAACGACTGGTCCATATTGCCAACATCCGTCGCAAATGTCTATTAGAATAATCTATGCTAAAAAAGGTTTGGAATGAGCTTTATTATTCCACCTGGGGGATTATTTTTGTTTTGTTTTTTAATCTTCACTTTATTCAATTAAATGATTATTCCGCATTCCGGATAAATATAAAAGTCCAGGACTCACTTAATTTTGACTATTTGATCCACATTTACACAGTTCTTTTAAATATATAACAAGTCATATTTCAATATTGTAGTCAGGTTGGTGTTGCTTTCTCTGGTATAGCACAGGGGTTGTCCAAGCTCATTTTGTGAATGATCTTCCATGTGTGTAATATTCGAAAATACTTACTCCATTTGAGCTTTAAAACACTCACTTTCGGATAAGTTTGGTCACATTGAGACAAGGGCAAATATATAAAAAAAAGTGGTCATGTTCGAAAGATGGTGTACCTGGTCAGGTCTTTGTCGCGTCCGGACTAGCTCAGGGATGTCACTCCAGCCCCATTCTGTTCCTGATCTTCATCATTTGTGGATGTCATTCTCAACTATTGCCCGTTTTCACTTCTCGCAAATAATTTACAAATCTATGAATTTATCCGATCCTCGGATGAATATCTTGGACTTATAGCCGGTATTTTGGTCTGCCTATGCTGTTTTGGTCTGTGATGATTGCAACAGAACCAGCTGCAGATTCGTCACTCTTTAGATCTCAAGAGAAAATCTCTCAGTCTTCGACTTAATCGGGACAAAATTATAGAAAACACAAGGTTGTTAAAATCCTTTAAAAGGTTTACGAAATAACACACTTGCTCACTGGTTAAAAATCCTAAAACTTTACTTCTTTAAAAAATTTTATTTGTTTTAATGAAAACAGTACACGATTTTCTCCTTTTCAGCTATGTGGGACACCTGATTTTTGGAGTACATGGAATGGCACCTTACAGTGCATCGAAGAACGCAGTTACCGTTTTGACGGAAGCTTTCAGACGCGAATTGGGCGCACACAACAAGAACATCAAAGTCACAGTAACCATCTGCACATTTTTTTATTTATATTAATAATTAGTTCATTTTATCACTGATGGAATTCTGTATTTATCTATTTTATTTACAAAATATAGAACATCTTCGATAAAACAGTCATAAATGGGCCTGTAAAAATTATTAATTTTATAAAAATCCGATTAATAGTTTTAAAGATTTCTGTAACGTTATGGATGGTGCACACTGCTCAGTCTTGTGAAATAACGAGGTGAGATGGCTATCGTACAGAGATATTTGGATTATGAATGGAGCTGTTGTCTCATTTTAATATTAATAATTCCCTTCAGCTTCATTAGAATGACTGGCAACTGACAGAACAAGCACAGCTTGCAGGATCTAACAGGCATTTTTTCTAAAGTTAAATGAGGCACGTCTATCAATCCGATGAAGGGACGTAATTTATCTTTGATTGTAAAGATAAAATTAATTTTTTTACCGAAAGTTTTAGTTTCGGATTCCAGAGGTAAAAATTATATTTCGTCCGCTTTCTTCCATGTTGATTTTCTAATTCAAAAATGAGCTAACATGAATTTCTTATTGGTATCAAATAATGTCAGCTTACTTTGTGATCTTAATATTTAAAATAGATAGAGAAAGGTTGTTTGTCTCACTTGGTTGAGGGTGTCGTTCCTTGGCTCCGTATAGAGAGCGAGTAGGAATACCCCTAGAGAATTGTGCTTGACCACGACAGCGATTATTAGAGAATGTATTTTGTAAGAATGAGTGAGAGTGTGCCTAGGTTTAAAAACTGCGTTAGGGGCTGATATCACCTAGTTATTCGTAGCTCCTGGAGCCTTTCTTAGGCGATAGGACGTGTAAGATCTGACGAAAAGCCTAAGTAGGAGATTCTCACAGCCTGCTAGGGGAAGTCATAAGTTCCATACTGCATATATACATATTTGCATTAATTTTGAAGTTGAATTTCGACATGTGCATTAATTTTTTTACATATTAAATATAAGCTTTAAAGTAGATTTATTGAAATTTTGTCTAATTTTTCTGCTTTGGTTGTTATCTCTGTTTATTTTTTCTTTTGTAGGTTTGTTTCAATTTTCATTCTTTTTGATTCGTTCTATTATGTTATAGTTGAGAAATAAATTTTGCTCAGAAGAAAAAGTTACTGTAGAATTACTACAATAATCCCTAATTCGCCTTTTTTCACACCGTCACCACTTTTCCCCCCAATTTAGCATAACAATTCTGCAATTTGGTTCGATTTAATTAGAGAAAAGGGTGCAGCGCTATAAAGCTTAAACGAAGATTTTTTTATGAAATTTGACAAGATCTACCGACAATTTTTATAGTGAGGTTGCAAACGTAGTTTTTTTCTAATTTTACATTTAACGGTTTTTGAAAGATTCAATGTTTGTTTTGTTACCAAAAATTAAATTGAAAGTTCTTGAAATGTGCCTTCTTAAAGAAACTTAACGCTTGAACTAAACTTTTCAATGCTTTTTTTTAGCGGGGTGGGGATGTCCAAAATAATGAATAATTCAAAACCTGCGCGTAAATTTATGACGAAAACCGTAGATAGTTGAAAAAATTCAAAATGTTGAATATCTTCAAAAGGTTTGAAAATCTATGGTTTATTTAGTGTTTTTTTTTGTTTTGTTTTTTTATTTGGGACCTAGAATGTACTGGTGAAGTTAATTTATTGCGTAGAGAGACACTGTATATTATCTCAATTCTTTTTATAGAAAAAGGAATTAACCAATTTTTTTACGAGCCAAATTATTACCTGATCAAAATTCTTTACGAAATTGCGCTGTAACTGTATAAATTTATGGTTAGGGTTAGTAATTTGGTTTCATTTGTCGCCGAGAATCAAATAGATTACACGACATTTGAAAAATGACAAAAAGGATGGAAAATTCGAAAGGTGGGGTTGAGATGGGAAGTTAGTGTCCGAGCGGATCGAAGTCACGATAGCTCAAGTGGTAGAGGAGCGGCGTATTTAGTATTCGTGGGTTCGAATCGCGCTCGTGACACTGACTTTTTATCTCAACTAAAAACCTTAATTAATTGAAAGATATAAATTGGTCATGGGGACCATGAAAACTAGTGAATTTAATGAGTATAAATTTATGTTGTTTTTTAGTTTAACAAAAGGTTATACACGTATTTTAAAAATGACCAGTTGTTTATATGTGCTCAGTAAATTTGGGAAAGGGTATTTAGAGTCCTAAAATATTTTATAACAAATAATGACGTTGATAAGAATATTTCTTTAACAAATTCAATTTAACATGAGTAGTATGAAATATTTTTTCATACATCCTACATTTGATAGAATATAACTTTTTACAAGTTTTGAAGTACATTGTTACATTTATGATTGATATTGGTCAGGGTTGTGATCATTCAGCTGTGATAATATTATCGAGTACCAACTTTCGACCTATAGTTTGTAAGTGTGTTGTCAACAAAAAGTAGTCATAAAAATAATTTTATTGATTGTTGATTGTTTCTCTTGTAATTTATATATCAACATTATATCTTAGCCCTGAAAATCAAATATAGGCCGAAAGCTAATATATACAGGGTGAATTGCTACTCGTGCTACAAACTTCTCCAGTAGATTCTTCACCCTAAAATGAACAAAAAAGTTCATATTGTCTATGGTCCGATTCTCAACCATTTCAGAGTAATTTCGCTTTTTATCGATTTTGAAAGATATCACGTCCTGGCGTCGGAAAATCGTGATATCTTTTAATCTAAACATTTCTCTGAAAATCTAATAGCACCNTATATATATATATATATATATATATATATCATAGCTAACCAAGCTAACCAAGACGTTGATCACTATCAATCCTAAATTTTAAAAATTAGCTGATCAATAATATCGATGCATAAGAAAAAAAATTAATATCAAGAGTTAAGAGTAAGAATTTCGATGTTCTGACCACACACTATACCAGGTTTGCAGAGCTGACTGTCTGTCATATCCTCAAACCATCACACTCATATTTGCAGACGATACAGCTCTCTAGTAACTGTTGTTATTTCCACACCTCACTCTACTAGAGTCTTAGAGTGAAAAGAAAATAATAAAATTCAACAAAGTCCAATTCACCCATATTACCTTCACTCTCCACTAAAACGATCTCCTCTCCAGTCTGCATAAATAATATTCCGCTCCCAACTGCGGACAAGGTGCGGTACTGTACATCGACAAACGCTTTAATCCAAGCTGCCCAATAATACTACGAAAAAACCTTGATGTTCCATGTTATGTATCGAACGTAACAAATATACTTAAATATTCTTTTCGTTCAAGATGAAATCCGTTATATACCGCTAATATCACAAAACTTCGATATGCCCAAAGAAAAGGAAAATAATGAATTGGCAAGAAATTGAGGAAAAAGTGGAATTTGAAATCGTAAAGCAAGTTGATTGTAACCTTACACTATAACTGATAAATAGATTTAGTTTCATACGGTTCGTTCAATCAGCGATATTTTAAAGAAAACGAGTTTTGAAGTCCCCTTAAGAAACTGTACACGTTTGGCCCTTAGGGGCCAATTCCTATCTGCCGATTTTGGCAAAGTTAGAACATTTATTGGAACACAAGTGCACCCATAATCCCAAAGTTTCATTATTTTATAATAATTATTTACCTGGATATTTAATTTTTTATCTATCTTGCGATTTTATATATCTGCTCATCATTTCCTTTGTAAATTTACAGCTGTAGAATTAACTGCAACAAGGAAATACAATTGTGTTAGATATTATAACTGACTTGTACAGACTTGAGAGGTCATTCAGTAGTGACACTCCAATAAAAGTAAACCTAAGCACTTGTCACTTGCTATCACTCAAGTTGAGATCACGAGTCCATCTGCGTAGTGGTATATCGGCAAATTTGGTTGAGAAAAGTTGAGTTATTAAGGTATTGGCCTGTGAAGAGGGAAATTTCTTTATCTTGATTTGATGGCGTGGGTAACATTAGGTAATGGTGAAGTGTACGATTTGACACATACAAAGGAGCATTTGCAATTTTGGTTTTGCAGGTTTTGGGCTGGAAGGATTAGATTCGATAGGAATTGTATGATTTGGCTGAGCCCTATAATTCAAACATGTTGGTTTACTGAATTTTATATTAGTCTTTTATTTTTAAGTGATAATTTGTATCGTCTTCCTAACGTGAGGCGTTTGTCGATGTATAGTTCTAAGTAGGGAACACAGTTGTCTTGGGTAGAGATAGTTGAGGTATACAGGAGGAAGGAATGCGCGCCGTAATGTGAAATTTCTCTACTGGCATTTATTTTCATTTATGTTTATCCTACATTTCTTTAGTCAAGGCTCAAGGTGAGAAGACTAGAAAACGAACAAGGACAGGTTCATTGTGAATTAACAAGATAGTAATGTCATCTGAAAATGCAGACAAGGAAATGGGGTGATTAGGGATGTCATATATGTTAATTAAAGGATTGGACTAACACCACTTTGGGGACTCCTCTCTGGAAAGGATGGTATGAGAAGGCACATAGGTATGAGAAGAACCTATTACCCGTAAAATATCTAATTAAAATATACTGCATTGTATGAGATCGGTTGACTCGTTGACTGACGTACAAACAACATGAAAAATACGTTTGGTAAAGGCTTTTATTTATTCTTGGACCTTGATAGATCATAAATAGTTATAAAGCTCAAGAGTCCACTTAAGAAATTATACTCGGGGTGAGTACGAAGATTTACTGGTTGTAAATGACAGTTTTATTCACAGAACGTTTAGTTTACAACTAAATACAACAGTTTTTCTCTGTTTCAACAAAGGGAGGGAACTAGATTGGTTTGAGAAATTTGAAATTAAAAAATGTAAAATCAAACGTGGATGTGAATGCATAAATAATATAATAGATTTTGATTTACCCCTTATTTTAAACATGTACGGTACGGTATACGGGTTACGCTTATTAATAAATAATTTAAAATTAGTTTTTTTACAGTATGTATTAGATTTTAAACCATTTATGTTTAGTGGTATAATTGACCATATTAATTATTCTTTTTATGTAAGTTATTGGTTGAAATGAAAAAGTTAGTGTCACGAGCGGGATTCGAACCCACGACCTTCGGCTCAATACGCCGCTACTCTAACCACTTGAGCTATCCTGGCTTCGATCCACTCCGACACCAACCTCTCATCTCAACCTCACCTTTCGAATTTTCCCTCTTTTTTGCCATTTTTCAAATGTCGTGTAATCAGGTTTCGCCATAAAAAGAATAATTAATAGCAAGAAGTAATTTGGTCAATTAGACCATTAAACATAATGTTTTTATTATCTTACAATTAATTAAGGTTTTTAGTTGAGATGAAAAAAAGTTAATGGCACGAGAGGGATTCGAACCCACGACCTTCGGCTAGATACGCCGCTGCTCNCCGTCAAATTATTGTGCAATCTATATTGTACAATAATATTGACCGTCTATGGGCCGCTTAACAGATCAACCCAGTGAGGATAGACAGAACAGAAAGATTAGTTATGAATTGTACTATGGAATTGCGAAGTTGTAACTACAGTGAACACGCTAAAGAAATCCGTAAAGCACAGAAAAGCTACAAATTGATTAAAAGAGGGAAAATTTGAAAGGTTGTAGGTTGAGATGAGGAGTTGGTTTCGGTGTGGATCGAAGCCAGGATAATGAGTTTTTATTATCGTTGGCAAAGTGACTCCTACCAGGAATTCGCCATCTTCAGTGTGTCTGACGGAAACCTGTCTAAAGCGGCCCATAGACGATCAATATTATTGCACAATATTTTGGGTTGTGCAATTTAATTGATCGTGTTTAGACGATACTGGTTAGTCAAGTGGTTAGAGTAACGGCGTATTGAGCCGAAGGTCGTGGGTTCAAATCCCGCTCGTGACTGTAGCTTTTTCATCTCAACCGATTTCTTACATAAAAAGAATAATTAATTGAAGTATGTATTAGAATAACATTTAGTAGTTCTAATTTATATTTTTCGCATGTTGAAAATCGAGCGGCATCAAAACCAGCTTCTCATTAGAAATTCGCATCGCTTATGTATTATCTCGTCACTGTATTTATGTCGAAAGACATGTTTTACTCCTTCAACCTGATGATGAGTGTTTAATGCTCGAAATCCGCATTGTTGTAAACAACAAATTCTGTGAGTCGAACCATCATGTATAAAAATTAAACGTGTGTTTGGTTGGATTTCGACGAGCCGCTATGTTTATAGTGTTGTTTTATCATCCATTCATTATGTTGCAGAGCCTCAGCCCAGGCCTAGTTGAAACGGAAATGACAAATGGCCTAGTCGTACCCGACGAAGTCCCACAACTCAAACCGGAGGACGTCAGCGATACTGTACTATACGTTTTGTCAACACCTCCAGGGGTCAATGTAAATACAATTTTTACTCTTAAAATCCATACTACAGTACATTACTGTATAACTGTAATTTTTGAACTATATTTTTTTTCAGATAACTGAGCTAACCGTGATGAAAGTCGGAGATGTCATTTTTTGAGAAAGTAACTGTACTGTACCACCATCTAGCACAAATGTAATCGAACTGTAAAACTCGAAACCTCACTTATGAATTTAGGAAATAGTACAAATCTTCACAAAAATTTAATATAAATGCACTGTTTTATTTGAAAATAAATCTTAGACCTAATCATTCCAATACGAACCTATTATTAAATTAACGATAGTTTTAAATTATAAACAAACTTCTGCATTAGTGTTTAAGTTATATTAAAATAAAATGATATATTAAAAAAAATCGTTGTAAGTACACATCAAAACGAAAAGTTAAGTTTTCCACATCTTTCACCTACCCAACTGCATCACTCAATTTTATGAACTAGAAAGAAAACTTTTTAGAAATATTTTTTATATTATTTATACTTCTAAAACGGCACTTGTTTTACTAAGATACTACATAATAAACTGTAATAGATAATAATTTGACTACAATTATTTTAATTTCTTTAACACCGAAAAAAATCTTGCACTAAATTAAAATAATAAAGTATATAGTAGTTTGGTGGATACACAATTTTTACTCTTTTTGCTTCAAACATTTAGCATTACTAGTCAGTGATGATGGGTTGAGTCAGATTTATAGATGGGAAAAACCGCTCTTTTTAAGGATCAAAACCACTCACTCAGTAAAACGAATCAGCCTTTTTTTCATGGTCCACCACTCGTGCTCACCAAATTCATCTTAACCAAAATTCCATGCGTAAATTTCGGCGGGTTTTTCGAATTTCAGTGTGTCAGCGCCATGGTGTCAATTACAGCGTTATATGAAATAAATGGCGAACGGTTGAACAGTTATTCTATTATTACAAATTTTAAAAAATTTAATTTAAAAACAATTACGAAGAATTAAACGATGAAGGTTGAACAGTTCGTCGTTTCGTTCACATTACAATTAACAACCAGCAATTTTTTTAATTTTTTCTTATGAACGAGTAGATAAAAAAAATCGAAATATAAAATCAAATGATAATTACAGCAATAAACAACTAATTTTTCATTAACCAGTCACCACCCTCACCCGTCTGATTGCTTTTTTCGACCTGCCCCGATTCTAGAATCACTGAACTGATCGTCCAATCATTCCCAACAAATCCTACGAATAAAAATGTTTAGCGTTTATAGTCCTGAAAAAACTTTTACTTAACAAGATTACGATATGACTTATCGGGACTTGAAGACTGTGTGCCAACGACAGATTTTATTTCCCAACGTCCCAAATCTCTTTAATCGAAATTCTAAGTAAAATTTCAAATTACTCCTTTATCGTTTCAACCATACTTCTGTTTGTATGGCATAAGTTTACTAATACTGAACGTTTTTAGTATTAGGATTCACTTCACTCGCGGGTTTGTTCACAACCGACGGACCCAACGACGTATAAGCCCTACTTGGACAAAATGAGTTCCTCACTGAAGACAGCGCAATGCCGAAACGCGTTTTTATTGTTGATGACACTCGACACTTGACGACAGTAGATTTACCCTACTTGAACAATTCAAATGCGTTTCGGCATTGCGCTGTCTTCAGTGAGGAACTCGTTTTGTCCAAGTAGGCCTTATATATCGTTGGGTCCGTCGGTTGTCGCTAGAGGCATTTGCAGAAGGGAAGGAACATTGTCAAGGTGTTCATTGGTCGGTAGTGATGTCGGTTATTTACTTTGAATGTTATTCCCTTGTCGGTTATTATTTGTGCGTTGTTAATTTTTAGTTTTTTTGTTGTATTAATTTCGATGTTGTTTTCTTCTGAACGTATATGCTTTTTATTATGAAGTGCAAACGCACACCAAAAAGTAATCTGTTTGACCATTTATAAATTCGTCTTCTATTGTACGTGTAAGTATTGTAGCATAAGTGCTGAAAAGGCATTCAATAAAGTCTAGTAATTAATCTGGATATAATAAAAACAACATCCATTTAGTTGGTAATATTTTATTTTTGAATAATGTGTTGATTTTGTTCTTCTTTTCCAAACATGCATTACATATTTTAACACATGATAAAATATTCATGGAATTCTTTATTTCACTAAATTCCCTTTAAACATATTGAAATTTCAACAATGCCTTTCGCCAATGTAAAAACAATTAGTCTTGGCCAAAGTCCTATCAACATTTTCAACATCCTCTAACTTTTCAATGAAGACATTTCACATGTAATTATGTATTATACATATTTATACTCAATATTTATATACTTTTATTTGTTATATATTTTTTTAAAAATAAGATATGCAGATACATTTTACATAGAGTGTGCATCACATCATATTTACCATATTTATATATGGTTTACATTCAGCGTGAATTTCGATTCAGCATAACAATAATACATATAATTAGTACTACAATAATACACCCAATTTAAAAGAGTATTTTTCAAAGTATAAACAAATAATATTTCATTTTAAAAAAAGGAAATAAATATATATGCATTAATAATATTACAGATTTATTGGAAAAAGTAAGTATGTACTACGATTCAAATTTCTCAGCAATAATTCATACTATATTTACAAAATGTATATATATATTTATATGTATATGTATACTCTTAAGAGCGGGACATATAAAAAACCTACATCGATTGGGGTTGACAAGAATGATCAGATAAATGTGCAATGACAAAGTTTTGGTTCAAAATACAAGAGATCGTTTCAGAGTAAACGTTCTTTGCTCGAATGACATGAAATGTTCTTTGCTTATTAGCATCGGCAATTGAGGTTTTGATGTGTGTATTAGATTTTATATATTTTGAGGGGGAGGGAGTGAAATAAAAGTTTTTCATTTAACTGATTACATTGCACATATATTTTGTATAAACTTAACACATTGATTACACACAAGCATTATTTAGCAGACTTGTGCTCATTCCTTATTAACTAATTCTTTATAATTCTTTAGTAATGTTCTGTTCTCTTGTTTCTCATTTTTATAAACGCTACAAGATCAAAACGTGAAAGAGAAAATAAAATAATTTTAAATACATTAGTTTATTGTCTCGCCTAACTTTGAGGATTTTATTTTACATCTTTTTTCCCCAAATTTAACGCTTACTAAATATTTGCTCAAACCCATGGAAGCTCTTGTCGTTAATTAGAGTAATCGCTAAGGGAATGCAAATGAATGTAGTTTGAAAATCTTTGGTTCTGGACGACATACTAAGAATTATTTCATTTGTACTAAACATTCAATTTGTGGTTTAAACGTTTCTATATTTCTTATCGACAACTATTCCAAGTTTTTCCCCTACAGTTCAACTAGGAATAACCGTGCGGCAAAAAACGTACAGCTTTCAAGCAACTCGGGTCACGATATTTTGAAATCACGCAATGAGTAGAATTAACATTTTTCGATTTAAAAACAAAACTACTAATATTTCAAAACGAACCTGAGATGTAGCATTTCACAACAAAGATAGTACGGATAAAGAAGAGACGAAAAATGTGTTTGAAGTGTTTTCTTCTTTTAAAACTAATCTCATGCATTGGTCTATTTATTTACAAATTCTTTACTCCTTCGATATTTATAAATTTTTCTCTAAAACAATAACAATATTCTTTATATGATTTTTTTTTGTAATCATTCATAGTAAATTACATGACAAAACAACATCTAGTATCTTATGTTTACAGTTGTTAGCTCAAAAGATAGTTTTATCCATACTGCTTCCAGGAAACCAAGAAATTAAATGGTTAATTACCTGAAAACACAAAATGAAGAACATTATATGCATATTTTGTTAGATTTTTAGAACTTTTAAAAAAGTTTCTTTTATACTAGCAACTATATAAAAAAAATATGGAACAAGCAGATGTAAAACAAGAGGTTAAGGGCCCTTTACACCAACTTGGTGACACCACCAACTCACCTCGATACTGAACCGAGTTCAAATCGAAAATTGGCGTGTTTAAATTTGTCTTGGACTGAGTTCAATTCAACAATTGGCGTATTTCAAGTTGTCTTGAACCGAGTTTAACTTAAAATCTTTTTATTTATTTATCTTTTTTCTTCAATTTATTTTGAGCCGAGTTCAACTCAAAATACTTTTTCAAATAGTTTTTAACCGAGTTCAACTCGAAAATTGCCGTTTTTCAATTTGTCTTGAACCGAGTTCAACTATTTTTTTATTTATCTTTTTTTCAATTTTCTTTGAGCCGAACTCAACTGTAAAAATGGCATTTATTTATCATTTTTTTCCAATTTGTCTTGGGCCGAGTTCAACTCGGGATTTCTTTCAATTAGTCTTGAACCAAGCTCAACTCGAAAATGGGCGTTTTTCAATTTGTATTGAGCCTAGTTCTTTCTTTTAGGTGTTTCTAATCGTCTAAGTAAAATGTTATTTATTTTTCTTTTTTTTTAATTTGTCTTGAGCGGGTTTCAACTGAATTTTTTTTCAATTTGTCTTGAACCGAGTTTAACTTAATTTTTTTATTTATTTCTTTTTTTTCAATTTATGTTGAGCCGAGTTCAACTCAAAATATATTTTTTTAGTTTGTCTTGAGCGGGTTTCCACTGAATTTTTTTTTTCAATTTGTCTTGAACCGAGTTTAACTTAATTTTTTTTATTTATTTCTTTTTTTTTTTCAATTTATGTTGAGCCGAGTTCAACTCAAAATATTTTTTCAAATAGTCTTTAACCGAGTTCAACTCGAAAATTGCCGTTTTTCAATTTGTCTTGAACCGAGTTCAACTAATTTTTTTTTCAATTTCCTTTGAGCCGAGATTTCTTTCAATTAGTCTTGAACCGAGTTCAACTCGAAAATGGGCGTTTTTCAATTTGTATTGAGCCTAGTTCTTTCTTTTATATGTCTAATCGTCTAAGTAAAATGTTATTTATTTCTTCTTTTTTTTCTTTCAATTTATCTTGAGTGGGTTTCAACTGAATTTTTTTTCAATTTGTATTGAGCCGAGTTCAACTCAAAAAAACTTTTTCAATTAATCTTCAACTGAGTTCAACTCGAATATTGGCGTTTTTCAATTTGTCTTGAACCGAGTTCAATTCGAAAATTGCCGTTTTTCAATTTTTCTTGAACCGAGTTGATATCGAAAATAGGCGTTTTTCAATTTTTATTTATTTATCCTTTTTTATTCAAATTGTTTAGAACCGAGCTCACCTGTAAAAATGTTATTTATGTATCATTTTTTTCCAATTGGTCGATTTGTTTATTTAGTTATATGCAGGCATTTAGATTTACATAAATTGTAGCAAAGCTTATTTTTTTGGTGGCATTTTTCTAGGATTTAATTCGCTGAGACATATTTACATATAAAAACTTATTAAAATAACAAATCATCTCCAAAGGCCTTCACCACTTTTGGAAAAGGCATGTTAACCAGGCTTTCATATATAAATGTTAAGAAACCTGGGGTAGAAATTATGTATTAATGGACTAGCGTTAGGAGATAATTTAAGTGGGATTTGGCATAATTAAAGAAAAGGAGATGTTTTTTACAATTTTTTTTATTTTACCATTCGTGTATAAGTTGGACTTTTTGAAGTCATTTTGTTCTTCTCTTCTCTTCGTTTATTCTACGTTATTATTACATTGTAACTGGCGCAGTCTGCAAATTTAGTCGTGGGGGGGGGCTCCAGTACCAGATTCAGTCCTAAGTAGCTGAGAGGGAACAGGTACACATGTGGAAGTGTTTTTCTGTTTAAGATGCAAACGATCATTTGAGATTAGTTTTCATTGACCTTGATCTTTCAAGCCCATTGTTCCAGGATGTGCAAGAACTGGTGGAGCAGGATCAGTCAGAAGATGACATGTCTTCGGGAAATAATTATTAAAGAATCGCGCTGAAGAGGTCAGCATCCTAAAGAAGATATAGGACTGAAAATACGATGCCTACTTTGCAAAACAGCAGCGTTGATCGGATAAATGGCGGGTGTAGAAAATACCTACCTAGACTACGTGATAGGATCAGTAAGATTTTATGATGTGAAAAGGTGAAAAGTAGCATTCAATTTTCATAACAACCCCAGGTGCCATACCCATTTAAACGCTTGATAGAATTTCCAGTAAGACATTCAAGCAGTACTGCTTCAATTAGATAGACGTCGGAATGATGGTCAAGAATGAGGTTCAGTGGTAATATGATTTACATTTTGGTAAGGAGAAGCGTCTCGATTTCTTTTCCAAAAATGGGAACCAGCTGGTAGATAGGATGCGTAACCAGGTTTCTGATTGAAAATTAAGAAAACTAGTTCTTGTGTGGGAGTTGAAGAAAGTCTTGGTTATCCAGCAATATCAAGGATTTTTTCTTTGGAAAGAATCCTTTTTTGGTTCAACAAAATGAAAATAAATCCAGCAAAAAGCTGTTTAAAAAGGCAACACCTCGCAATAGCCTGTTGCATCTACGCTATGGTGTAGTTTCCGATGTTTAATAAGCACAACAGAGATTTAATTCTCTATTACATCCTATTTTTAATTCAATTTTGGAAGATCCTTCGTTATGGTTTCTTTGATGTGAAAAATAATAGTAATATTCTAGGTTACTTTAATCCTTGGCCTACCAACTCACTTTTAATCTTTCTTCTCGTCTTCTGGATCTTTCAGAGTATGCCATTGGGCGATGGGCCTCCTGGGTGATGCCAACATGTCAGACCAGTGGCGCAATTCAGTACCGCTCGCGTTGTAGCCGAGGACCACCTTTCCGATGGGTTCGGATGTGCCGATGCGATCGTAGTCAACGACGGTTACCACCAGCTGCACTTTCTGCAATGGAGAATTCAAAGGGTTTTGAGACACAGTAAATAATCGGTTTTCAAAAAAAAGTAAACTCGATTACCTGGATCTGTTCAAACGGAACCTCGAACGAGAAGGACTCGTTGTAATACGGGTTCAGAGTGCATTTTTTAATGCTGGTTTTTTTCTTCTTCAATCGCTTTCCGTTCTGCATTATAGCAATCTTCACATATGGATCTGTAATATGAATTTATAATGATCACAATGTATTATATTATTAAATAAGTTTTTACAAAAAACGTAAACATATGAAGATGGTGCTTGGAACGTTAGTATAAGTTCCAATAAGTACAAGAGTATTCCAACATATAATTAAATATTTTCTATGTAGAATAACGCATAGTTTATGAAGCTATACACCAACCTTGCATAAAAACATCCAGTCAAAAACATAAAAAAACAATTTCATCTCAACTAGAAACCTTAATTAATTGTAATGTATTAATTGGTCAAGCGGACCACGAAATTAGTGAATTTAATGATTAAAATGAAGTACACTTCACTAAAGCTCTCCGTGGCCATTTCAATTTTCGTCGAGAATCCAATACGATTACACGACATTTGAAAAATGGCAAAAAGGAGGGAAAACTCATAAGGTGGGGTTGAGATAGGAAGTTGATGTCCGAGTGGATCGAGGTCACGATAGCTCAAGTGGTAGAGCAGCGGCGTATCTAGCCGAAGATCGTGGGTTCGAATCCCGTTCGTGCCATTAACTTTTTTTTCATCTCAATTAAAAACCTTAATTAATTGTAATGTATTAATTGGTCAAGCGGACCACGAATTTAGTGAATCATTAGAGAATTTAATGATAAAAAAAAACAACTAAAGATGACAGGCCAAACCTGCGGGAATAAACAGAACAAAATCATCAAAAACAGTCACACTATCTAGAGACTTCTCAACCTAATAAACTATTAATCGTTTGGCACTTCATATAATTGGATATGATGGCTATCAACCACTGCAGCCAGCATGACACTACGATATTTTATGTTTCGTTATTTCAATAAGTACTACACCCATTTATCCCTAGTTTGACAAAACGTTAGGCAACAAAAAATAAAGTTCGGTTTTAAAGCAAATGTAAACGAAGTGTTTTACGCTTCCAAACGGAGAAAGTATATTAGTGGGCAGAATAGTCATTTTATGAAGAATCAGCCTTTTCAGAAGTTCCTCACGCCGTCCGTCGCGACATAAAGCAAATAGTACTCAACTACATCCCTCATAAATTTGACGGTTAACAGGAATAATTTGATTATTTTTACTGAAATTCTGCCAGATGCTTCTTATTTATCATTTCAATACGAATTAAAATTCTAAATTCAACAGTTCTGTTTTAGGTGTACACCTTGATAGTGAAACCCAGCCTCAATAAGGCCAAACAAACAACTAAAAGAAAGAAATCAAATTAAAGGTTTTATGTCTTGCACCACAGTAGCAACCTGAAGTGCCTGTACTACGAGTACGACTGAAGAAAAGACTGATATTCCCTCTCCACCAAACGATGATAATCAAGAAGAATGAACTCTAGGAAGCAAGGGTTTGTGTTCCCCAAACATTTATTGTTTGTTTCTAGTTCTTTAATCCAGTGCAATCGACTCGATCCTTTTCCTAAGAACTGCTAGTTCATTGACTGCCTTTACCACAATTCCCTGGATTTTCTTTGAATCCTATGCTATTGTCCATTACGCTGTTGCTTCGCATTCGGGTATGGGTCCCTGCTTCTTCCTCCTTTTTGCATTAACTACAAATGAACACATCAGTGAATATTCCCATGTTATGTAGATGTTTCCTCAGATGACTGTTGCAGGTATATAGGTCTATGACTCCTCTAAGTTTCGCCCTCTCTAACTGTAGCATGAGTTTGCTAATTTTGGTGAGCGTGACACCATTAACATAAGCTTATGCAGCACGTCTGTAGTTTATCCACTTCTCGTTTTCTCTATTTTGGATTTATGCTGAGAAGGAGGATTTCATGTTTGCTTTTATCCTCCCAAGAATATGTTCAGGGATTATATGTGGTCGTGCAGATCCTCTGGCCTTTTTTTGTTACCCAAAATTCCTTTGTACCCTGATACAGTGCTGATAACAATCACAGTAAAGAAAAACGTGCCTCAGCATGAAAACATGTGTGGAAAGTTCGATCCATCTTGCTAAGAAATTATTCGACACCCACTAGATTACGTGAACTAAATTTTTGAATTGAAACAAAACTTGAAACCTAAAAGAATAGGGAAGGAGAAAAATTCTAACGGTCAAAGAAGAAGCGATCAGAACTGACATGATTTAGGACGGAAGAAAACACGAAGACAGAAATGTTTGGTCACAAATTAAAGTACTAAGAGCCCAAGGTACTTACAACAGTATTAAATCATATGACCTAGCAATTGAGAACGTTATTTATTCAAAATGGAAAGAAAATGCAAAAATAAAAACTGAGCAGTCATGACAAATCCATAGATACCCAGGAAAGAAGGATACAAGAAGCTATCAGAAAACATCACAGAAGAGAAAAAGTCCAAGTCATTAGATTACTGATCTGGAACATCATCTGCTAGCTACGGGGGGCTTGAAAAGAAGGGGTTGAAATTATAGAAGAAAAAGAACAAGTGGATACCCTTGCAAAACAATCAGCTGCCAAATTGTTGATTATTTGCCAGATTGCCATCATGGAACATCGATAGGTTGAAAGTGATGAAACCTGATTCACTCACTGGGTCAAAACAATCCAATCAAACTTTACGAAAGAAAAAGGAAATAAATTCAGAAAACATCAAAGGAAGCAGGAAAAGATACCAAATATTAATAATTTTCTTGCCATTTGGGACAAATCGGTATCTACATGGTGTGTTTATATTCCGTAAGGAAGAACTGATGAAATACATATAAAAAGTTTGTTAAGACAAAACAACAATGAAAAAATACAAACGGATCAGATAATCACACTTCAGGAGTAATTAGGTCTCAACGATATACAATATGTACAAGCATAACAAACATCAGTAACATAAAACTTATTTTAATGTTAATATAGTTAATGTATTTACCAGAAAGACCGCCGACGTCCATTTTCTTCAAGTTCTTAGCCTCGAGGATGACAACAGTTAGTTTTCCAGCTGTAGGAACGTATCGCAACGAGAAGCATATGTCTCCCAGCTTGTTGTCCTAAATTGCCACAAAAGATTATGGCTTTAAAAACGTATTTATAAAAATGGATCAAAATGCATGGGTTATTTTTCTCCGATAAACGGATAAAATTGTGTTTCTCCCAGTTTTTTTTCTTTTTCCCGTCAGAAAACCCGGCTCTAGTCGTGAGTGCTGTGTGGCCTCTAGGTGCTTTCACTTTCTCCTCACCAGACATACGCACTCATTGAATCTATTAATTTACTGTGCTCCATTCGAATGCATGTTGATTTGCACGGCTAAAATTTAAGTGAGACTAATTATTTTTGTGGTCGACAGGTCGGTTTTTAATGGACATTTTAATATTTCAACACTAGAAGTTATACACTATAAAGGTACGTTGATTAACGTCGTTATCTATTAATTTTTAAGAAGTTAAATCAAGCATCTTGCCTAAAAAGCCTTTAAACAATTTTTACAATTATTAATTCATAACTTGAACAATACTCTATAAATAAGAAACTGAACAAAAAATCATCACTATTACTAGTATTCATATCCCATATTTTTTCACATTTTCTTTCCTTTTTGTATTTCGTGACTTATATCTTACGTATGATTTTATCTGTATGAGGATCGTTTTTGCCATGTTCAATATACTACTAATTGATAGAAAAAGGCATAATAAAGTTAAAATACCTACATCGAGTAATATCCTTCTGATTTAGCTTTTAGTTAACTAAGTGGTCTGTTGTAGTAAACTAGTCAATTATGTAAACAACAGTGAACGATAAGATTTTCGCTTGTTAAACATGCTAACATGTTAAAGAATGTTATCCGTAGCTTTTAAAAAAAAGGTGTTCATGCTTCTATGATGAAATAATATATACGAGTCTAGGCTCTTTCCATGGGCATGGGTCTCGGGACATTCGGGGCGTAGAGGCAAACAAAAGGTTGACATGTTGGCCAAAAGGGGAGCCAACACGGACTCTCTGGGCCCAGAACCCTACTGCGGCCTCGCAGCCTGCCACAGAAGAGGATACATCTTAAAATGGATCCTTAATAAGTCCAAAACCTGGTGGAACAATGATACTACAGGTGTGAGACTCGCGGAGATTCATAAAAGGACCACCCGCAAAACTTACAAAATAATTAATTACTGGATGGCAACCGCAACCAAACCAGGATTCTAGTTGGATCCTGCAGGAGAATGCTACTTCAGAAAGCACATGCAACGGATAGGAGTACAGACAGAAGAAAAACTGTGCAGATACTGCCAGGAATAGGAGAAGATCGCAGAACATATTTTATGTTTCTGTGAAGGTGTATGTAGGTGCAGGTTCTTGCAACTAGGACAAGAAAAACCACAAGCAAGATCCTACACCAAGCTGGCAAAGCTTGGATGCTGGTTAATAACCTGAAGCTGGCCACTGAGATATAAATAACAAGGGGAGCACAATAGATCTATTCAGGTCGAGGTGCAGTAGGCCTTGTGGGCGCTTCTTTTATCCCTATCCCTACGCTCTTTAGATTAAAAATAAGGAAAATCATTATTATTCATCCTTTGCAGAACCAACTTGTCGAGTGAGTTAATTGGTTTTTTAAATTTTTCTATGATGAAACAATAAATCTGATTTAAAAATTTTTGTTTTTAAATCGAAAAGGTCTTGCATGGGCATACACTTTGGCCAACAATGGTCGTAGCGCCTGTTACACAGCTCAAGTCCTAAGTGTGCCGCGTTCTACCATCCGCGATGGTCTACAACGGTTTAGGGCCACCGGGAGTCTCGGTCGAAGAGAAGGTAGTGGTTGACCTCGATGTACGATGGCTAGAGACGATATTTTATTGCTCTTACCACACTACGGAACCGTCATTTAACGGACTCCTTGATAGGTAGTCAACTCCGAACGATCCGTAATGTAAGCTTTAAAACACTCATCAAAAGCGTTCATAAGAATAGCCTATTCTTTAGACGTCCCGCATCGGGTTCTCTACTGCTGGAGAGGCATTGAGTAGAAAGGCGGTTATTCGCAAATCAGCATCTCGCTTGGATACTTGAACAATGAGGGCTTTTCTCTTCACAGATGAGTACCGGTTAATCAGATGACCGAGACCGAGTGTGGAGAAGAACTGGAGAACGCTTAGCTTCGTGTGCCATGCGTGAGCCTTTTCAAAGACAGTCATTTATGACAAGGGTGGGAATCAACGTCCAAGTCCGTACCGAACTGATTGTCATACAGAATGGATTTTTGACAGCACACTGAGGAAGTTTGTCTGGAAGCTGTGGTCCATCGGGAGTTACGATCGAAGAGAAAGTTGTGGTTGACTTCGATGTACGATGGCTAGAGACATCTTTTTATTGCTCTTACCGCACTAAGGAACCTTCATTGGACTGATTACTTGATAGGTAGTCAACTCCAAACGTTCCGTAACGTAAGAGCTCTGAGACGTCATCACAAAGCTGAGAGAGAATATCCTGGTCTTTAGACGCCCCGCATCAGGTTCTCTACTGCGGGAGAGGCATCGAGAAGAATGTGACTATGTGCAAATAATCGCTTTGCTTCATGTGCCAGTCACACCCTTTACAAACACAGTGTGGAATCAACGTTCATACGCTTACGGATCTGATTATCATACTGAGTATTATACTTTGATTCCTTGTGAATTTCCTTTCAAAGCATCTTAATTTTAATAATTTTTATTAAATTCATGAATTTTTGATCTCGTTTAAGATTAGGGACAGCATAGTTTAGGTTAGGCATGATTAGGGTAAAAAATTTTGGTAAGTTTAGTTATGTAATGTTGGTTTGTTAGGGGTTAGCGTTAGGTAGAGTTAGGTTAAGGGTTAAGTTAAAAGCAGCTTAGGTTGTTAGACGTGAGTTATGGTTAGGGATAGATTAAACTCAACTGTTGCTTTGCCAGCATGTACTGACCACCTTTTTTAAAAACCCAAGTGGATAAGGCAGGGATCGAACCCGCAACCGTCAACGAAAGAGTGGTACCTCATCTCTCACATCAACGACCCCACATGGTCAGGGATAGATTAGTTAGGTTACGTATGGCCAGGTAGGGTTAAGGTCGTGTTGGTTGAGGGTAGGCAGGGTAAGTTAGAGTTAGGTAGGGTTAGTTTACGTCTAGTTAGAGTACATATCCATGATAAAAGATAAAATATGCGAGTTCAAAGCGAGTTTGAGTCCTTTTGATTCGTCTGACTTGATACTCTACAAAATATCACACTAGTTAACAGACCCTATTAGTGTCACGCGCAGTTAGTTTTAAAATAGCCGATTTTTACACACTTAACACGATTAAAACAGTCTGTGTGAATAAGTCTAGTTCTAGAAAATTTTCTAAGGTGGTAAACATGTTATTTTATGTTTAATTAGTAAAAAAAATTGAAATCTTCTTCACCAGTTCTTTCATAAAATAAATTTAAAAATAGAACAGTAGAGAACAAAATCAGCAATGAAGATTCCTGCCCGATCAGCCATGAATTTTTTTTCTTTTTAAATATCACCTAAAATTTGAAAATGTTTCTCCTTAGGTACAACACCGTACATGGAAAAACAGCTTTTAATTTACACAAAAAACGTTGATAAAACTGAGAGAAGCACAATTCGGTACAAATGCACAACTTGTGATAAATTTGATCAGTTCTCATCCTGCTTTCGACAACAATATCTTTACATACAACAATTAGGCTCAGGATAGTAAATGAATGGGGCCACGTTACACGCACACAAAACGCAATAACGCGACGCCACACAACTAGTTTCAGGAAGCGTACTGGTTGTCGTTCTATGTACAATAATTCAGATGAGTTGTAACAACATGATGAAAAACATGCTGAAGACATATTAACAATGACATCGAGGTATGTTGATACGGTTCATTTAAATGTTTAAACATTTGTGATTGTCGATTTTAAACAAACGAGTCTATAAAGGAGTAATCAACAGCAGGATAAAAATCAAATTAAAATATTAAAATATATAGAATATGGGGTGAACTTATGGAAATCTCCGGTGGTGTTGTTTTCAACAACTAGCAAAAATTAATTGTTTACAACCATAAAAATTTCATGCTTCACAACTGCATTAAAAATATTTCACTGTTTTATAAATAATTTTTAATTTTTACCGTCGCTGTTTAGAAAATTATTCATTGGTGTTTTTTACTTGTTAATTTTGTTAGAATCGATAAAGGGCCAACATTTTGCAAGTTTAGTGCTGTTAATGTTTTTTTCTCAATCAACAATCACATTTGTTTATTTTCAAAATGACTTAATATGCCTTGAATATTTATCGAATTTATAAAATGCAAAACAACTTAGCCAATATAAAGCCCGCTAAGTACTGCCACATTGCTCACAAGGCGCAAACTTTCCACTGTTTTAACATTCCGTCTCCTGACTTTTTTTTTCTTTCCAACAAAATCCACAAATTAAAACAAATAAGCACATCCCTCCATGAAGTTAAATTCAAGTCATTTTTTTTTTCTCCATTTTCAATTGTCTATACAAATTTTGAACCAACAACCAAGAAGCTTCTGAAACTCTAGACTATAAAAGCGTGGCAACTTTACTCACACAAGTTTTTAAAAGCTACTAAAATTTTGATTTGTGACATGCACACATTTTTTTCTGTTTTTGTATTCCATTTATATGTTGTGATTATAATTTTTTTTATTGTCAGGCATTATGTGAACTTTAGGATTCTTGGATTTAACGATCCTGCATTTGTATAAAAGTTAAGAAAATATAATGACCTTTAATCGAAATTTAAAAAAAAACAAGTCAGAATAAATTGTCTTATTCATTCGATTTGTGTAAATTTTAAACAAATACAATTTATTGGCAGAATACAGATTCAGTGCTAGAAATAACTTTGAAGAAAATTGCACTGATAGCAAATACTCGACGCCAGGTAATAGTTTTCTTAAACATTAAACACGTTTTCATACCAACACTCAGTGCTTTGAAAGTAATGTTGCCAACGTTTAATGTACAATGCATTCATGTCACAATTTAATGCTTATAATA